AATCCTCATCTGAGGATACTTTTCAATTGATTTTTATTGAGATTGGAAGGGAGGGGAAAGACAGAGGGAGAGAAATATGATGTGAGAGAGACACATTGATTGGTTACTTCTGCATGCACTGAGCCTGCAAATGAGTATGTGCTCTTGACCAGAATCAAACCCAGGACCCTTCAGTCTGTGGGCTGACACTCTATCCACTGAGCCAAACCAGCTATGCAGTTAATTAATGTATTTTGAACTTGGCTTCTTTCAGACTGGGCATTTTGAAAGAACTTTTCCCTAACATATTGTTTAATGCAAACTACTAAACTGTTTAGTCACTAAGATGAAGAGAAAAGGAAGTTAGAACCACGCTCTGAAATTGCTGAGGTTTTATTTGGAGAGACAGTAGAGTCACATAAATAACATACATAAACAGGTATTTATACAGAGCAAAACAGTGAAAGCCAGACTTCAATCTGGGGGAAAGAATTAGCCTCTGATACAAAGTTGCTTCTTCCTAGTAGAATCTAATATGTGGTCTCTAACATTTTTAATTAAAATGTTTGGAGAGACAGTAGAGTCACATAAATAACATACGTAAACAGGTATTTATACAGAGCAAAGCAGTGGAAAGCCAGATTTCAATCTGGGGGAAAGAATTAGCCTCTGATGCAAAGTTGCTTCTTCCTATTAGAATCCAATATGTGGTCTCCAACAATTTTTATTAAAATGTCAAGTAGGGTTTTTAGAGAAAGTCAGCAATTCCTATTACTGATGACAAACTTTTACTAGAATCTAGTATCTTGTGAACTAATTGTAAACTAGAGGGATCTGTATTGAGAAATACATATTCATGCTTCAAAATGTGACTTGGCTTCATCAAACATCTACCTGGCCTGAAAAAAACTAAAACCCCTTACCGCCTAGCCCGTGACTCAGAGATTTTACCAAGTAGATAAATAACCAGAAGAATATATGGTCGTGAGGATGGCAGAATATTACTTAGCTCACACTTTTCCTTTCCCAGGGCCCAAATCCAACTGTATTCAGCCACTAGATAGAGGCTAAAAATTCCATATAGAAGTAGAAAGAAAGGGCGTGCATAAGGATTTTATATATTTAGCATTTTCAGAATGGAAACTCTTATATTAACAAGCAGATCTGTTGTTGGATATTTTAAAGTTCCAGTTTGACACAGAATTTAAACAGAGTGACTGCAAAAGACTGAATTTAGGAGCAGAGATTCCAAAGTCAGATAGATGTATATGCAACCCTCTGCCCACTCTGGAAGTTTTTATTTAACCTTCCTAAAGTTCATATTATATTCATCACTAAAGTTCATATAATAAAATATAATATGATGATATTTATAAAGTTAATGAAACCATGGATGTAATATGCTTAATACAATATAGTATCTGGAATATAAAAAGTATTCAGCCCTAACTGGTTTGGCTCAGTGGATAGAGCGTCAGCCTGTGGACTGAAGGGTCCCAGGTTTAATTCCGGTCAGGGGCATGTACCTTGGTTGCGGGCACATCCCCAGTAGGAGGTGTGCAGGAGGCAGCTGATCGATGTTTCTCTCTCATCGATGTTTCTAGCTCTCTATTCCTCTCCCTTCCTCTCTGAAAAAAAAAAATCAGTAAAATAAAAAAATAAAGAGTAAAATATTTCACATTAATCTTGATACCATTTTTAACTACAGAACAGGACATTTTCTCGTTTTTTATTGTTTTATTGCTTAAAGTATTACAAAGAGTATTATATATGTCTCCTTTCCCCACCCACCCCTGACAACA